AAGACAAGACAACCCAAAATAAAACCTCTGGCCTCGGCACAGGACACAGCTGCTTTAAAGAGCCTTGTGCGGGGAGCAGGGCAGAGCCATCATGCCATGTGGGTGACAGAGCTGTCCCCTCGCTCTTTGTCCCCTCGCTCTTATCTCCCCTGCCTGTCTCAGAGCTGCTGAGGCTGAGTGATGGGACCTGCAATGGGGGTGGGTGAGGAAGGGGATTGTCCCATCTGTGCTTCTTCCTGCCCCTTTGCCCACCCCCAAGCCTCGTTTCCCCCTGCATTGTTCCGGCTGTTTGTTTAAAGAAGCTCGTAGCACCATGCGCCATGGGGTCTGTCCGGGCCTGGCTTCCCCACAGCTTGGAGCTGGCAGTCACTGCTGGCTGCCCTCGGCTTTGGCCACGAGCCGCATTGCCTGGTGTCCAGGCCACAGCCTCCGTGGTGGGATGACCCAGCAGGAGACGTTTCCAAAACAAGGCTGTGTGGAAAGTTTGACTGCGGTTTGGGCTTCATTTCCCTGGTTGGGGCCCTGCTTGCTCCTTTTTTCCTCCTCAAGCAGGAGAGGCTGCTGCTCTTGCCAGTTTGCCCACAGCTGCAGCAGCTGGCCTAACCTCAGCTTTCCCCCAGGCTCCTGAAGTGTCCTGTGGCTACTATGCCAGCCTGGCAGCTCCCAGGGCAGCTGCTGTGGGTCTCTCCTGACCCCAGACCAATAAGCTCTGTCATTTGCAACCCCAGCACCTCACCAAGGAGACCCCAGGTGGAGCCAGGTGCGTCTAGTACCAGGGGCTGCCTCGGTGCCGGCTGCAGGGACAGCACAGAGGGATGGCGCCTCCTTCTTTGTCGCAGCCTCACATGTCCAAGGACTCTGCGAGGATCCAAGGAGACTGTAATTTGGTCTGTGCATTTCCCAGCATGGTCCAAAATAGCCCCAGCATAATCCCTTTCCCAGATTGCTGGATCTTGCCCCACTTGGCTGGGAGATGGCGTGGGAGGCTGAAGAGCTGCTTAAAGCTCAGTTCGCGTGCCTTGAGGTGCCAGAGGGGATTTACCTCAGGCAGCCTTGTCTTGCACAGTGGTTCAGTGCAGGAGGAGGTTGCACGAGTGTGCACAAGGCTCTCCTGCCTGCTTGTTGTTTCCAGCAAGGGCTTACCAGTAGCTCACACACCCAGCTCAGTATTTTGGCTCTAGTGCTGCTGCTCTCCAAGTTGGCTGGGATAGGGCTTTCAGACCTAGTAGGACCTCCTTAGCGCAGCGGGTGTGATGCTGAGATTTGCTGCAGCAGAGAAAGCTTCTCAGCAACTCTGCCATTCTGTGGCTTCTCCACAGTAGGGACAGCCTCTGTATAGCCACTGCCGACGTGCTGTGGGATGAGGAACGTCCACTTCTCAGCTGCTCAGTTACTTGTGTTTTTCTCCCAGCCCGGCAAGGACAGCTGCCTCCTGCCAGTGATGGTGGCCCTCCGTGTCATCTTTATCCCTCTTTTCATGCTGTGCAACGTGGAACCCCGGGACCATCTGCCTGTTGTATTCTCTCATGACGCCTGGTACATCATCTTCATGATCTTCTTCTCCATCTCCAATGGCTACCTGGCCAGCCTTTGCATGTGCTTCGGGCCCAAGTGAGTAAGAGCTGGGGAGAGGGGAAGGGTTGGTTACACTCCCAGGTACCAGCTGCACCGTGACTCCTGGAGTCTGGCTCTGGCATCTGGAGAAAGGGCTGCAGGGCGAGAGGGGCATCGCCACACCACCTCGTGGAAGACAACCCCAGGAGCACAGGCAGCACGGGGAGACCTGCTGGAGCTCAGCCAGGCGGGTTGCAGGGCATGGGGGCAGGAGTCAGGGGAAAGTGTTGTCCCTGGTGCTGGGAGCACTTTTTTTTCTTTACAAGCCA